GTAACTGATGCCATCACTTGAGAATTATCTTGACAGACTTTCTGGCGAAATCCTAAATCTCCCTAAACCCTAAACTCACACCTTTAAACCCAACAAACGCAAACCCAAAGCCTCCTGCTTGCTTCGGACAGGTGGCTTGGATCCCAGCTGCGCAGCTTTCGTCGGCTCGCTTTTCCAGGCCGCTTGGCCAATGGGGTTTAGGTATGTAGTTGAAGTATAATTATTTCATACTCTGAACTGTGCTAAAGTTTGTCATGGTTATCCACGTCGCTCCAAGACGGCGGATGAGGCTTGGCAGGCTTGAGACTTGGGCTGGACTACTGTGCCCCAGCCTTGTATCCCATACCATACGAGATCTTGCAGACAGGCGGCGTCGTGATGTGTTGTCTAGCCGGGGTGGATCAAGCTGTTGGCTTGGTGGGGGCGGGCCTGGCGAAACTGAGAGAACTTGTCGGATGGATAAAGTCGTTGACAGACAAGTTGAGGGTTCGGGTCTCGGTTTGATTGCCGGAAAATCTTGAATGACAGGTGCACCACCAGGCACTATCAGGCGTCCTTGTGCTACAGACTGCAAACTTGCATTTTGATTTCTTTGTATTTGGGGTACTGCAGATGTGCGTGCAGACAGATTTCCGAACTTCAGACCTTCAGACAGCCGCAGCCAATCCTATTGCTTTACTCGTTCCATGCCGGCAACCCCGAACATCGAGCGGTCCTCATTACATGTGGCAAGCCACAACTGGGTGCGAGGACAGAATCGGCTGAATACCCAGAGTGTGAAAGCACCGGCATGGGAGAGAAGAGCTACTTGAAGGTGGAAAGGATGACATGCATGGGTACAAGACAGTCAGCAGTCAGCAGACAAACCGCCACACACGTCATCTAAAGCAGAGAAGAGACTACGGGTTGTACTGGTTGTATGAGGCTTCTCATATTTTCTTACGACAGATATTGGCTTGACAAGTTGTGAAGAGGGAAGTGTGATCTAGGACGTGTAGCTGGCATCCTTGCCCGGATGGGGTGGCTGCAGGGACAGCTGACAAGTGCACGGAAGTTGAAAAGCATGCACCAACCAAGTCCAGACCGGAAGATCTCAACTATCAACCGAACATCGTGTGCACGAGGAGCGTGAAGTAACCCTATGTATTATGCCTGATAGTAACTCTCGAAGCAACCCTTCATGGCCCCGACACCCCTACCGAGGCCGCAGCCCGGAGGCGCTCGCAGCAGCAAAGACAGGGTTGAGTCTGGCGCGCCGGCCAAGGCCGCGCGAGCTCGCGGAGCCGTGCAAAGGAGGGTTGAGGGTTCTCGGTTTTGCGAGCCTGTGCTAGCCGATGCTGACCGAGCCCTGTATAAACATAATCCTCGCTTGTGCCATTTGGCAGCCGGTTTTAATTCGCGAATGGGAGACAAGACAAACAGAGAGCAAGCAATCAGCAGAGTGATAGAGAGGCAGAGACAGACATAGAGACGGGTGGCTGGAGACTGGACTCTAAGCGGGGTGCGAAGTCGAAGGTTTGCGGTCGGACAACCGTCGAGAATCCATGTCCTCAGACACCTCCGATATCCCAGCGTTCAGCCCCGAAGCACAGATACTAATTATTTCGAGTCCAAAGACCTGTGCGACACATTCAGCCTCCAGACTACTAGCATGATCAACAGATTCAACCGCAGTTGTTTTTGGTAATTATCTTTCGTGACCTTGCTTCTTGACATGTTCAGAGAGTCATTTCCGGAGACACTTATCCAGATTACTACAAAGCACATCCTTGTCCCTTGCCCGCCTCAGGCTGCTGGCGCCTGTGCCGGGGCGCTGCTGGCCGTTTTGATGCTTTCTGCGCCACTGGCTGCCAAGGCAGAGGTCAACCCCGAGTACCCAGATGGAAACCCGGTGCCTTGGCTCTCTTGGCTCTATGGGCTTGAGGCTGCACTTTGTGGTAACAACGCGTGTTCCTTTCTAGGCATCCGGAGTTTAGGGCTTGATATTGAACTTGCCAGCTTGTCAGAACGAAAAGCATTGGTCTTCTGTTGTTCTTTGGCCGCGCCTGGATTTATGGATTGATCATAAGATTCCGGTTCGGGCTGCTCGCCGCAATGAAACAACAATCACTTTGGGCACGCGCGAGGCCAGCATCAGGATTTCTCCAAGCAGTCCAAGCATCGAAGAGACGAAACCGCCCTGTGTAAGGGGGAAGAGGAGGTATGGTTTGAGGGTTGAGGCGAGTTTTGGGGTTTAGGGTTTGGGAGGAGTTTCGGGATTGAGCCCTCAACCGACCTTGTGGCCACCTTGCTTGCTTGTGCAGCAAGGTCGCAAAAGACTTGCGACTTCCACCTTTGCCGGAAGAGGAAGTGAAAAGGACTGGCAACCATCAACCCTACGCTCTAAACCCCTAGCTTAAAAGTGAAGAGCGGTGGACACGCTATTTCGTTACCAACACTATCGGAAGTAGCAGGAACTGCCCGGCCGGCAGTGCAGGTATGAAAAATTGTTCTGCCATGTCCAAATTGAAAGCAAAGCTGGCAGCCTGCCCTTGTTTGATCAACCGGCCCTGCACGAATCTCCCGCACACTGGCTAAAGCCCCGCAGACCCCGGAGGAGACGGACCGCACCTCGGGAAGAGCTGAAAGTAGAGAAATGGTACAAACAGGGTGTCTCGACTGCAAGCGGTTGCTAGCTTCTGATATTAGTTCAAATTCAGAATAGGACAGCAGATGATTCCAGGACCTTAGGTTCTTAGGTTGGCTTAATTCTTAATGATGCGAGCTCGTGTGAGTGAGTCCTGCGGAGACGGCATGAAGCCCACCTCCAGCGTTCTTGGCTCTGCAACACCTGTGGTTAAGGCACGCAGCGGCAGTCATGAATGGTTCATCAATAGACTCCCGCGATTGGTGCTCATGTCTTCAGCCTTTACGACAAGCATCCTCATCTTGCAACCATTATTGTTATTATTGTTGGTAGTTGTAGTCGTCGTCTGCAGTGGTAGTTCTGCTAAACTAGTCGCTGTACTGCTTGTTTTGCTACTACCAAAGCTGCTACTTCTGCAGCAACTGCTACTACTACTACTACTACTACTAGTAGTAGTAGTAGTAGTAGTACTACTACTACAACAACAACAACAACTACTACTACTACTACTACTACTACTAGCTAGTACTGGTACTAGGCGCCCCCCCTACCAGGTACACTTGCTCGAAACCATCTTAAGAGCACATCCGTTTCACTC